GTGGATTAAAGTGCCTGCAAGCACGTTGAGGGGCTGGGTGTTCAATCCCTGATCCCTGGGTCTGCCAGTCTGGCCTTGCCCCCAGGGCACGCTGAGATGGCAGTTGAGAGTGGATGAGGTGGCGCGTGCCTGTAATCCTCACACTTGGGAGGCTGTAAACAGGAAAATCACTGAGTCTGATCTAGTAGTGAGACCCTGAACATGCTGTAGACCCTTTCCTAAATAAAAGAAAAAAAAAAAAAAGAAAAAAAGAAAGGATCCACCATAAATGTAGATTGTGTATCAAAAGAGAAATATCTGGACTAAAAACTGCTTACTTGTGTAAATCGTAAGTGGAATTTAGGTGAAGGACTAGAAAATGGTAATTTTTATTTGAAATATTTATACTTAGTATATTTATACTGGTTACTTTTTTTTTAGTACAGGGCATTGAATCCAGGTCTTTTCCACTGTTATATATATGCAGCCCTTTCTTAATTTTTTCTTTTTTTTGAGACAAGGCCCGAGTTGCTGTTTCCCAGGTTGGGCTCAAGCTTGTGATCCTCTTGTCTCAGCCTCCCAGAGTGTGCCACCATGCCTTGGCACTTAACTACTTTTTTAGTACTTAAAACTTGCAAATAAAATGTAAATTCACAGTCCTGTCTTCCAAAGATAATCATTGGTAATATTTTAATGTACTTTTTCTTTTTTTTTTTTTAATGTATCCAGTCACTTAAAAAAATAAGTGTAATTCTAGGACCAGCCTGGTAGCTCAGTGGACTAAAGCACCTGCTTAGGCAGAGTGCAGCATCTGGGGTTCAATCCCTGGGGCATGCTGAGACTGCGATTGAGACTGGGCGTGGTGGTGTGCTCCTTTCAGCACTTGGGAGGCTGAAAACAGGAGAAGCACTATGAGTGCTATCTGTGTAATGAGACCCTGAAGACCCTGTCCTAAATACAGAAAAAAGAGTGTAATTCTAATGAACTGCCTCATATTTTCTTGAAAGCCTATTGATGTTTGATGGGCAAACAGTGGACCCATGTAAGCTGGTTAGCTATTTTCACTTTTCTTTTTCCTCTATAAAGTCTGTTGTTTTTTCTTGTTATTTTTTTTATGTATTTATTTATGTATTTATTTATTTTATTTTTTTGGTGGAACCAGGGATTGAACTCAGACCCTTACACTTGCCAGGGAAGTGCTTATGTGCTTATTCTACTGAGCCATCTCCCTGGCCCAAATTTTTTTTTTTTTGGTTTTCTTTTCTTTTCTTTTTTTTTTTTTTTGTGCAGGGTCTCACTACACAGCCCACATTAGCAGTGATCCTCCTGATTTCTGCCTCCCAAGTGCTGGGATTACAGGAGCACGCCACCACGCCCGGACTTTTTTTTTTTTTTGAGACAGGGTCTCGCTCTGCAGTCAGGCTGACCTTGAACTCCTTATGTAGCCCGGGCTGACCTTGAACTCACAGCAGTCCTCCTCAGCCTTCCAAGTGCTAGAACGCAGGTTTGCTCCTCCATGACTGGCATGTTCTGTTTCTAAAGTAGACGTAGTAAGAAAGCAGTAGGTTTATTTTTTCTTGTTTAGCTCTGTTAATCTACTTTTTTACACAAAAGTAGATTAACAGAGCTTTGATCTTTTTCTTCATGTTTCTTACTTTCTACTATTTGTAATTGAAAGTGTATTTATTGAGTTAGGAGAAAAAGGATTGTTTGAAAACTAGGAAAAAAACATAATAAACGTGTAATCTTGAAGAACTTAAGGTAAGGAACAAATGTTTTGGCCACGGGATGCTTCTTTTCAGTAGAGAGTTAAAAAGGTTACAGAATCATCTCCATAGCAGCTGTCCGTCCCTCTGCCTGCTCATGTACCTCACTCCCTCTATTAAGGCTCTGAGATGGTAGCATTTATACATTTGGGCATTTAGGGGTTTTTTTTGTTTTTGTTTTTTGACATAGGTTCTTGCTATGTAGTTCAGGCTGACCTTGAACTTGCTGAATAGCCCAGGATGGCCTCAAACTTATGCAGTCCTCCCAAATGCTGGGATCACAGGCATGTACCACCGTGCACACCCAAGAATTTCCTTTT